TAACAGTTTAAATGATTCTTGGGTGAGGTCTGGAGTGATGGGTTGTTTTAAACCATAACTTTTTGCAGTTTATTTTATTGTTTTTTGATTAAGTATTTAATAATAACTTAGCCTAAGTTAATCTGCTTGTAACTTTTTATAAATGTACTATAAAAATAATGTGGTGTAATTATTTTTTTAAACCTTTAGGTTAACTAAATTTCTAAAATTGGAGGTAAAACCATTAAGACAAATACAAAAATGTGATGCAAAGGTTTGTTAAAAGTAGTTTTGAATAAAAAATCTTTTGAATCTTTTTATTATAGTTTGTTTTAAACTTGTGTCAAAAATATAATTAGTATATATTTTTAAAAGTTTGACAAATCAGACATAAAATAAATCTTTTTTTTTTATGTCTTATTAGAATTTTTTTTAAACTGTTTTCTCTTACTTTTGCATTTCCTTGAGCTAAAGAACAACCTTAAAGTACAAAGGTTGTACTTTAAGGTTGTAAATTGTACCATTATTTTAATATATAAAATAATGGTACAATTTATAGTTTTTTCTTTTATTTATAAAGTTGTACTTGATAAAAATAAAAAATAAAATTGAACATTTTGAATAATTATTGATTATTATGATAAATTATATAAAATATATATGAAGTATAAATATTTTGCAAAAACACTTTTATTTACAATAACTGCTTCAACGCATTGTGGTATGCTTGCAATTTATTTTTTATAGTTTCTGTCAACTCTGGGTTATTGTGCCAGATCTTGATAACCTCTTCCATAAAATCTTGCTTATTAGTAAGATTTTTTTTTTCCAATCTCTTGCTTTACTATTTCCCAAATATTTTCTATGTGGTTAAAATCATGCGAGTTGTCTGGCCATAGCAATTCATCAACTAAGCCATAACAGTTTTTATTGTGTGGCAAGTTGTACCATCTTGCATAAATATAAGATTTTTGACATTATTTTTAATATTTTTGAATTTTTTTGTCATTTTTTGACATTTTTGGCAGGACATCAATCCCTCTTCTTTTAGCCTTCTACAAATGGTGTGGTCTGACACAACAATTACAGCTTCATAGATAAGCTTAGTCAATAAGTTTAGTGGCTTTTTTTCTGTTTTCCAGGCAGATATTTCTGATTATACTGTCCGCTCTTGGTGTTTTCTAGCGTTTAGAAGGTGGTCTTCTTGGACCAAACTCTTCACTTGTATCAATTCTTTTTCTTACTTGCATTACGGTTTGGTAAGAAACCTTTTGTGTTTGTAAAGAAACCTTTGGTAAGAAACCTTGGTGCAATTTTGTAAAAGACATGTTTATTAATTTTTAATGTTACTATAATAATAATAACAATGTATAATGCAGGTTGTTGACAAATGGTTTATAATCAAAATTTAATATGGCTGGCGGTAAAGGTAAAGAGAAGTTTAAAGGAAAAAACATTAGGTATTTACTTGTAAGTTAAGTGTAAAATTAAATATTTTTAAAAATCACAGTTCGTTTTTTTGATGCTATTTTATTTTAAACTTTTTGATGTATTTGATGCAAATTACTTAGGCAATACCTTTTTTATAGAGAGCGTCTTGTCAATTAAAGTGACTGCTACAGTTGCCGAAATAAGAAAAGGAATAATGACTTTATTAAAATACGCACTCAACAGATCAAATGGTGGTGGTCGGCGCGTAAAAGCAATTTAGTTGTATCTAATTAATATACTTGAAATATTAATATTATAATACAATATTCTCTGCGCAAATTATTGCTTTTTTATTGTGTTATTTTATTACAATTAAAGTTGAGATAATTTTTTAGTTAATTGGGTTTAACCAAAATAAAAAACAAAAATCAACGTTGAATTTACGTTGTTTCAACGTTGTTCTAACGTCGTATCAACCGAATATATCACTTATTCAAAGGTGAAATATTGTTGATATGTAGTCGATAAGACGTTAGTTTCTCATGAAAAATTCCATGAGTTTTTCATGGAAAAGTGTTCCAAGTATCATGGATATTCAATGAGATTTTCATCCATGAAAAAACTCATGGATTTTTCATGGTAAAAAAGCATGATTAATTTTCAAGTTTTTTTGATCTAATGTTATTTGAATTCTCATATTAAATCATAAAAGCAAATATTATTACACTAATATTATTGAGTTCTCTTAATCTATGGGATCGCTTTCTCCGAATAAAATCAATAAACAAAATAAAATTTAAATCTTGTTAAATCCTACAAATCGTTGAAAAAATAATAGCTATAATGCACCTAAAACATCAAAACTTGACTTCCTTACAATATTTAATGCATACATATGTATAACATACTGAAAATAAATAAAACAAAAAATTACTAGTAATATAATACTATAAGTGATATACATAGTGATAAACAATTGAAATATATCAAGAAAAACTTTTGTAAAGAAAATAAAACAATTTACATGTTTATTATTTTATATTAACTATTTGATAAAAATAGTATATATAAATTTGATAATATCTTAAAGTTTTAACAAGTTAAAAAGAACCATTAATACAACATATTCAATCCAAAAAAACATCAAGCCCATTTATAAGTGCGACTGCATTGTGTCTGTAGAAACAGGTAGATGTCAAACAAAGTATCATTCACATTTTGATATTCATTATTTTTTCACCGTAGTTAGTCTCATTCTCCATTTCACCAATCTAGACAATACATCATACAACTATTATACACATTCTAACTAGTTTTCTTTATTTACTGATTCATTTTACTAGTAATTATTATCTATTATAACTTACTTTATAGTTAGGCATTATACACAATTTGAATGTTGCCAAATGTTAGGTTACATATATATAGAAAAAAGTAGCAATGAATATATCATTATTTATAAATAACAATTATTAGATTATTACCTCTTTTTCGCCTAAGTTATCTGCATTATGTACAACTGTTGTAACGATGTTGTCAACATCGTTTATATTTCCAGTCAAACCTTCCTGCCTATAATGTAACTTAATTAAAATGATTTATTTAAACTAATACATGTATAAATGTTACCTGCATGTTAGAAAGATTTATATAAAACAAGGCAGCAACAAAATTATATTATATATTTATTTTTGTAATAAACTTACTTCTTCCTCTGAGCTATCTGCATGATGTACAACATCATTTACAAACCTGTTTTCTTCACGTCCTTACCACCTTTAAATATATTATAAAGCACCGGACTTGTTAATGAACAGCTAAATAAATAAATTAAAAATTTATATTGCAAGTCAAACCTGCCTGCTAATAATGTAGTAATTCAAATGAAATGATAAGCTTAAAATGAAAAGATTTATACACTTATATAGATTTTAGCTGCATGTTAGTATCATTTATATAGAACAAGACAGCAACAAATATAGTATAACTTATAAATTGTAAATTTAAGCAAAAACCTACTTCTTTGTCTGAGCTGTCTGCATGATATACAACGTTATTTATATTGTCAGTCAAACTTACCTGCTTATAATGCAGTAATTTAAATAAAATGATAAAGTTAAAATAAAAGAACTTATGCACACACCATTAAATTCAAAAATTTATTATATTTTTACTTTACTATATAAAACATAATAAATTTATTATATATGTAATTTATAAAGTATAGTAATGTAAAAGCATAATAAATATCAAAGTGTGTGCATAAATTAATTTATTTTAACTAAAGACGAACACTCTACATTAGTTAAATATAAACAAAATAAAAATAGTCAGAAAACATCAGAAACATCATCATGAAAATTCCAACCTTTCCAGCGCTTGTAAAATTTGCTAATTTTTCTTGTTTTTGACTCTCTTAATAAAAATTTACCCTCTTCTATAATAGAGTTTTTTACAGAAATTAGAATAATACAAACATACTCTACTAGAAACATATATAATGGGAAACTTAATGTACCATCGTTTAAAACTCAGAAGTATGGTAAACATTCTGTTGTCTATCAGTACATTTGTGAATGGAACAAGAGACTAGTATGCATAGTGAATAAGTTCAAAAAACTACAACTTCAAACACCTTTTTATTTTCTTAATCTTACACAAAACCAATTTTAAAAAAATCTGAAAATAATTTTGTTCTAATATATTGATATAATTTTCACCTAATTTTTAAAATATACTCTTATTTTTTTAAATTATGATTACTACAACTATTATCATTAAATTTTTTTATTATTATCATCAAAGTATGGTTTTTTAAAACTTTTCTTGTTTATGTATGTTCTATATGTATATTTTAATTATTAATTATATTATATTTAAAAACTGGTGTCACTCCTTTGATTTTCTTTAATAGTTATTTTTTTAAACTGTTGTTATTTTTTTAAACTGTGTCACTCCTTTGACTTTTTTTATTAGCTATTTTTTATAAAGGAAATTTGTGTACTTACTATTGCTGCTGAGTTTGGTGGCGATAAGTGGACCATGTTTAATTTTCCCTGTTAGCAATGGTATATGGGTCGTATATTAGACCCACGTGGGCTGTTTTATGGGCCCTAGTTAGGAAGCCTATTTGATACCCATAAAAATTTGTCCGCGGTTTTTCAATGGGTCCTATGTGGGCTAACCATATAGTTAGCCCATATTGTACCCAACAAACTCCGATGTTTTTTGTTTGTTTTTCTTTATAGCGTTTTTGATGGTTTGCCTATATTGGACCCATTAAAAACCTGTTTTCTTTTATTTACTTTCAACTATATGGAACTTTGATGGTTAGCCCATATTGGACCCAATAAACTCCTTTTTTTCATTCACTTTGAACTATATGCCGTTTTTGATGGTTATACCATATTGGATCTAATAAACTGCTATGTTTGTTTTAACTACTTAAACCTATTTGGAACTTTTGATGGTCTATATAGGGACCCAATAAACCCCTATGTTATTTTATTTACTTCGACCTATACTTTGAACTCGAGATTCACAATAAACAACATGTTGATTATTATAATATTTATTACTTTATTATGTCTCATAACATGTATAAAAGATTTAAATTATAAAGTGACTTAGGTATATTCGGTTATTTTGTAGCTCCGACACGTTTATCTCTATTACCATGTCGATCACGAGCACCAATGAGCTATTTTGCGAGCGACACTTCAAAATCTTTTTGCGTATACGCCGATGTCAAAGCATTGCGCTTTAAAGCTCCTATAAGAAATAATCAAAGAAATATAAAAATAAAACCTCATTTTTTGTCTTTCATCTAAATCAAATGTGGAAAAAAAAAGATTCCTACTATATTTTAATATAAGATAATAATCAAACGCAATTTATCTATTGTGTTGTACTAAAATAGTAAAGTTGCATAGGAATATTAAAAAAATTGTTTTTGGACTATGAATACTTACTATAAACAACTTGGAACACCTCAGTACCCTTTAAAACTTTTTTTGTCATCCCTCGCTGACAATTAAATTGTAGTGCCAAATTATTGCTAAGGAGCTGCTGCATCATGCGGCGAACAGCTTCGTCAACTTTTTTTCCTCCGAGATCGGCTAACAAATTAACCTGAAACACATTTAATCAAAGATATTTTAAGCATAATGAAACCGAGTCTTAGCAAAACAGGAAACTCATGAAAATGAAGAACAATATTGGAATTTTCAAATAAAGGATTATTAGAGGAAAATCTAGAAAATTAGAAAACTAGTAAAAAAAAAAAGTATTTTTAAGAATACTTTTCTATAATAATTTTTTTTTTTATTTAACAGCAATTAAAAAAAAATTCCATACAGAATAAGAATTTTGAAAATGCTATATAGAAGCTATATTAAACTCAGGTAGTTTAATTAAGCAACGAAATGTAAATATGAATAAAGCTCATATAATAAAATATATTAAAAATAGTAACAAACCTTTTGTTTAAAACAACTTATACAATTAAATAAAAGTTTGTAAAAAAAAGTCATTAAAAATCTTAAAACAATAAAAATTAAGAAAGCATGTAAGTAGTATCTTACAATTATGTTTGCAATATTGCTATCTTTAAGCTTTTTTTCCATTGCATCAAAAGCTTTCATGGTATCCATGGGTAATATTATTCCATCTGGTAATTGTGATGCCTGCACCGCCACATTGCCTTGTTGAAGCATAGCATTTAGCATATTAGTGTGGATATTCTGAGTTTGTTGAATACCCACACACACATTCAGCAACTTTACAACCAATGCATTTGTTGTTTGATCTTGTTATAGTGAAAATAATGAAATAGCATTATCATTTATTAGATTTAATTAGTAAAAAAAATAATCACTAATCAGTAACCACTCACTAGAAATATTGCTGCACAATGAAGAAGATACCTCACCAATGTTCGGTAATGTTACAGCATCTAAAAAATTGTTAGCTGTATTATAAAAGTACCAGGAATAATAATAAAAATGACATGTCATACATTAAAAAATATGCAAATTACGCATCCTTATGAATAATTAAGTAATCTTAAATTAAAAACTAAAAAAACTTAAATTAAACTAAAAAAAATTAAACTATCTATTATTTAGCTTATTTCAGGTGAGGCTTCATATCCACGGTGAAGGCAATTTGCCGAAAAGAAGAAAAACTTTTAAAATAGGGGTTTTATATGAGTTTTAACCCTACAACATTGTCATTTAATCTCAAAAATGAAATCATGGAAACATATTTAAACCACACAAATGTGGAAACATTGACATAAAAAACTTAAAAATGTAGCTCTTACCAATATTTAAAGCCGTTGATGCAATCGTAGACAAATAACTTACTGCGGTGTTTGAAACACCAGGGCACTGGGTTGGTGTCATCAATGGTGCAATGTCTTGAGATGTTAATGTTGTTACAGAAGATTTTTGTATAGTTGATTTTGTTGATAGTATAGAAGGTAAAACTGATAACAATGTTAGTAAATTTGATGACAATGGCACAGAAAAAAAAGGAGAAGGAATTAGGTTTTCTTTAATTGGTTTAGATTTCCCAGCTGATTTTTTTTTTTCAAGGGGAAAATAATCATCGCCAGATTCAAAATCTGATGACATTTTTCTAGATGCACTTTTAAACATTAGGTGCAATTATCACAAAACTTTTTTAAAAATAACTGCACACAATTTTGTTACATTTTAAAACATTTTAAAATAATTTAATTCAAATTATTAATACCTTTTACACCTAATTTGAAATTCATTTTTTTCAGTCTCCTGTTCTGTAAAATTTAAATCAGAATTATTTTAACTTTTCTCTTGCTCTAGTGTAGCTTGCTGAATAAATTAAAAAATTATTAATTACAAGATTTTATTTACGCTATACATATCCAGTATGAAAAAAACTATATAAATAACACACTTTTATAAATAATATAGTCAATAATTCCAAAACAAAAGAATTTCTCTTACCAGCCTTTCCTAAAACACGAATCTTGAATGCATCCCATTGAGCATCTGGTGCGACTCTGTTTTTTGCCATCTTCTGAGTTTTTGTTGACAATTTTTTTGGAGGCCATAAACAAAATTCTTCTTCACTGGAAACAAACCAATTTGTTGAAATGATTTCAACTTGATTAGATTCACAAAATTTTACAACTGCATAAGCCATATCTAGTGTTTTTCTTTACAGTAACTACAACAAAACAGTGTTTTGAACATAAATAGATAACCATAAGATATAAAAAACATGCATTTAAAAATAACACAGAATACAATCTGAATATGATATTTTAAAATTGAATATATCTTAAATGAACTTATTTGCAGATAGCTTATTTTTTAAAAAATGCTCTTTTTATACCAGTTTTAAAGAAAGAAGCCAAACTGACAGTTATTCTAATATAACAATACAAAAAAGTAATATATATTTGAAATAAGTCATTTGTCTGGATGAACCTTCAATTATTATATTATAATTAAAAATTGAACATACTTAAATTAAAACATTTTAAATTCAGACAAATGACTTATTTTATTGCACTTTTTTTATTATTTAAAAACAATAAAAAACAGATAAATTGTCAGTCATTGCAAAAGTAATAATAGTAATTGACAGTCATTGAAAAAAATACCTATTTTTTTTATTTTTTTAAAATTAGTTTTACAAACAAGTTACAAACTACTTATTTTAAACAAAATCTTATTCAATATACAGCCACAAGTATTATATTATTTTACAATAATATTTTACCTAATATATCATTTTTTTACTTACAAGACAACTATTTTTATTAAGTTAAATTAATTTTATTAAACAACTTATAACTTACAAATATTTCCAATAGTGAAGACTTAAGTGGACTATCAAAAAAGGAACTAGATTCTTTAACAGAATCATAAACAACAAGAATATCATTATTCATTAATAGAATAATATTTTTGACAACTGATAATGTCCCATGAATTTTAAAACAACTGTCTCGTAAAGAAATAGAAACAAAACACTTTTTTCCTCTGTAGTTTTTATATTGGTTAAAAAATCAAGAGGCTGTAAAAGAGTTACAGCCTCTTGGTCAACAGACATTGACTGCCAATTTTTTGTTGTAGCAAATGCCTTTTCTTCAAATCGTTTAATAATTTGACCTATCAGGTTATGCGGTTTACGGATGAGTTTTTTAATAACATCTAATTTATTTTCAGAAGGAAAAGCTGAAATATTATCTAATGCTCCATATAATCGGCAGTCTTGAACCAAGTGAATTAAAGTGTGAACATTATAAACTAGTTGGTTATCACCGTATATTATACAGAAGTTTTGAACAAAATTAATCAACAACTTTTCCGCATAATCACAGTAGTGTTCACATGCAGCATATCTTGTGCCAATATAAATCTATGAAAATGATGGTGTATTCGGTCATAGTAAAATAAATGTGCAATCTTTACCGTAATTTAATGCAATTAAAGCATCAGCATCTTAACTTCAAAAAGTAGATGTGATATGGTTCTTGGTAAATGCAAGAATTTATCATTACTGGGTTTGAACGGTTTTGTTTAACGTTTAACAAGTAATATAATAAATTTTTTTTATTTTTTTTATTTTTACTTTTTTTATTCAGCAATAACTACATTACTATATTAATAACTATATTACCAGTAATAACTACATTACTATATACACTACTTTACTTTTTGATTAACAAAATAAAAAAAAAAATATGGCCACGAAGTAGGGTTGACAAAAACGTTTATTAAATAATATAATAAAACTATTTTTCATTTTTAACAGGTATATTTTCTTATACAAAAGCTAAATTAATAATCAGATTGCAATTTTTTATAATATAAATCTATTTTTAAATAGAGCTATCTTTTAAGTTAAATTTAAAATATAAGTAGAGAATATGTCTTTAACATGCCAAAGTATCATTCAGGGCGAAGAAATAAGGCTAGTTAGTGGAATGAAGTGACCATATTAAGTGATCAACCAAATAGAGTAATATGTAATTGTTGCAAAGTGAGCATAATTAAAAAAATAGAGAAAGTTAAAATCCATTTGGATAAATACAGAAGAAAGAATAAAGGAATAACTCCACTGAAGTGTTAACAGATATATCAGTTTCAGAGTCAAGGCCATCTATATCTGCAGCATCAAATAAGTCTAACCTGCCTGGAGATAATGAGCAAGATTGTTTAAGCTTTATTAGTGATTCTTCTTATTCGTCAATCGTGCAATCAACTGCAATGAAGATGCAACGGCAAACATCTATTTCTAAATTTGTTACTACAACAACAAGTAATCAGAAGGATGAACTAGATTTACTAGTTGCAAGGTTTTTCTTTTAAGCAAATATAACATTCAACGTAGTAGAAAATCTTGAATTTATCAAGATGATTAAAAAACTTAGATCTGGATTTGAGCCACCAAATAGAAAACAGATATCTTTAGAACTCTTATGAACTCTCTTGAATGTACTCCAACCATCTTAAATTCAATATGGTTGGAGCAACATTAATTAATGATCCTATAATTTCTCATATCATCCATAATAGAAATAAACCTTATCTCATTTTTGCAAATGATACTAGAAGCCAATCAAAAGTAGCAGAATATTGCGCTCAAGCTACTAAGGATGCAATCAAAATTGCTAAAGAAACGTTCAATAAAGATGTAAGTGTTAGATGTTTAGCTGTTTTATTTAATATATATATATATATATATATATATATATATATATATATATATATATATATATATATATATATATATATATATATATACATATATATATATATATATATATATATATATATATATATATATATATATAAATATATATATATATATATATGTATATATATATATATATATATATATATATATATATATATATATATATTAATATATATATATATATATATATATATATATATATATATATATATATATATATATATATATATATATATATATATATATATATGTATATATATATATATATATATATATATATATATATATATATATATATATTAATATATATATATATATATATATATATATATATATATATATATATATATATATATATATATATATATATATATATATATATATATTTATATATATATATATATATATATATATATATATATATATATATATATATATATATATATATATATATATATATATATATATATATATATATATATATATATATATATATATATATATATATATATATATAGCTGAAACTCCTAAATTGATAACATATGGTTACTCTGCTCATTTTTTAAATTTGGTTGAAACTTTGGTCTCTACGAAGTCTATAGTAAAGCATATTATAGTAATTTATAAATATTTTTTTACCAACCACAAGTATGAATTAAATTCTAAATTGTTATTTACTTATTTGTCAAATTCTGTAATACAATACTATGAAATAAAACAGCAGTGTTAATGATATAAGTCTAATAATAATGATGGCAAAAGAGATCCTAGCTTTATTTTAACGAAATTATTTTTAAATATTTCTTTGTTAAATTTTCTTAAACAAATTTATTATACGGTTGGTTATTGGAAAAAGATGGACTGATGTTACAGCTAACCAATGATACTTGCTGGAACTCACAACTAGATTGTTTACAGATATAAATATCTAATCATTCTCTGTACGTTGACATTAGAGGTGAGCATATGAAATTCATTGATCTTTCGATAGGAAACCTAATTGAAATTCTGTCAAAACAGAGAGAATCAATAAATTTATATTCACAACTGAAAATTGTTGGTGGTGCGTTAGATAAAGTTAATTAAATTAGTTATTAATTGGATTTGTTAAATTTAGTTATAATAAGTATGTTAAAACTTCTTATATTAGGAACAATGCCATCATTAACTTTATTTACCTAATTATTAACAAAATTATTGTATTTACTACAGTTGCAGGCAGACAATACAACTTTGTCTGCGGCAGTTGAGATTTGGCAAAGCCTCTTACATAATGAAAAATTGGCTTTGTACAAAGATGATATTTTAAAGAGGTTTAAGAAAGCAATAGTTCCATTTCTTTTTCTGGCCAATTTAATCGATCCAAAATATAAAAGTAACTAGACAATTGTAAAAAATTTAAAATACTGCATCTGATCAATTTTAAATAAAAACAAATGTAAAGTTTTTATTTAAGTATACTACTCTTATAACTTTACTTATTTACTAGGAAGAACATTGGATAGAAGTCAAGAAGAAGAAGCTAAGGAATGGTTGAATGAAGTCTATCCTGAATTTATGCCAGGGCTACTATGCATTTAAACTAAAAGAAGCTAATTGTTTCCCAACATATTTATGCAACGATAGTGTAAAAAGCATAACATTAGCAATAAATTGGTGGAGAATTATAGAAATGAAAAAATCTAAGCCTTCCAAATTGCCTGCAAATTTTGCAAAATTATTACGGCAGTTGCACACTTGTCTTGCTAGTCTGGATCCATTGAAAGATATTTCTCATCTTTTAGGATTGTTTGGAGTAAAATTAAGAATCGTTCAGGAAGAAAAAAAGCTGAAACGCTTGTATAAAATTAGAGACATTTAAGATCAAGATGCACATCTGCTGATGACTGTTACATTACTTTGTTTTAAATGCTTAAGCTTGAATATTATTGCTCCAAGTAAAATAAAATCCTTATTTATGAGTTTCTAAATTTCATATTTTGTTGTTTGT